ACGCAATGAAACGAATCGAAACGGAATGAATTACTACTTATGCATGCATGTTTGCCGCAAAAACACACATATATCCGATCCAACAAATAAACATATATATATAGAGCTAGTCCCATCAAATCGTAGTCGCACTTATTAGTCTGGCTGGACACATGTTACACAATGCTGAGCCATAGATTTATGGCCGGCAATCATCGGGATTTGCAGCAGAAGCAGGACACGCAGGACATGCTGGACATATAGGACATGGAGCAACTGCTATCCCGACATTGACTATTGAAAGTCAATTTCGGGTGCGTGCCACACGCTCATTTGTCCAGTTTATGGCCAACATCATTTGTTTTGGCATTTTTGCCAATGAGGCGCAAACGCCTTTTATGCGTTCCAATAAATTCTCGCTTCCGGCATCGAAAAATCCCTTTCCCCCCCCATATAACCTGTTTGCCCCTCCAGATCCCTAATACCTGTTTATGGTTGCAGTTTTCGTGAACACTGTGTTTACCAGGCTGCTGATGCTGCATTACAAATGAGCTCCCTTCGTTTCAAAGTTGAAAGTTTAATTTGCTGCCCAGCAATTTAACTGCCGGGGGTCAGCTCAAGTTAGGGGAGTTTTCAAGGAATTACTTTACAGAGGCGTGTTTTCCAGTAATAGTAACCCCTCTTAAGTGCTGGCTAATTAATCAGGTGACTAATTATTGAAATTTATAAGGAGGTAAACATGTTTAGGACACCCTTAGGATGAACTTTGTCCTACGGGCAATTATCATAAGTAATTATTATGGCATGTAAAGCATAGTTTTGGGAAATGAAATCCCACAATGAAATCCCACTAGTTTTAATTCCACTCCTCCATGTCTTTTGATATTTGAAAATCAATAAGTAAGCTGAACCATTTTAAACTCGGTAAAAACAAATATTATTTGACCTCATGAAAATTTATGAACTCTGGCATTTTACAATACTCTATTAAGTGCTGCCAAGCCAACAGAAACAGCCAGTCGAATAGGGTGGACCAAATAATCAAATTGCAGTTTCCAGCTGTCATACTCACAGTCCACCAGTTTTCACATTCATGTTTTCTGGGTATTTTTCGGTTTTTCAGCCGGCAGACCGGCAAAAACAGAGCTGTGGAAAAAATCTGTTAGAAATCCTATTTATATTTCGAAACAATAACCATTCAATTCCATCTAACGACTGGGTCGCTGTGTTGGCCACCGGCGAGCATAACGAACCAATTGAGCTGGCCACGACCCCTTTGGGGGGCGGTGGGTTATTTTAAGGGCGTGGCATTTATTAGCAATTGCTATAGCTTCGCCTTCTGTGCAAAAATGTACACCCAGCCAGCCAGGCCTTTAAAGCGGAAGCATTTGCAATGGCCAACAGGACATGGGCGGTAGACGAGACCAACAGGACACCACAGGCGCGACGACACAAACAAAACGTGATTCGCATACAAATAAACAAGGCTTCAAGGATACAAAAGGATGCGGAGGTGGAGTCCTTCACCACCCACACGAGCACACATGACCCTTTGGGACCTCGGAATTGAAACAAATGCCACAGTGCAGGGCGTGCCTATAAATTTTTCACCAAATACATTGGCCATAGGTGCAACTGGAAATGCAACTGCAAGTGCAATGGGTGTTTTTTAGTGGGTGGTGGATCAGCGGGTGGTGCTCCCCTACCAGCATGAGTGGGTGCGGTCCGGGGCTCAAAAGGTCCGTGAAATGGCCAACTGGGACATTGTTTAGGGGCCGGTGCTCAACTGCCCGCACACGGACAACATTTGAATGCAAAGCAGGCGTGGCCGGCGGTTGATGTCACTCCTCAATCGCACACTCGAAAAAAAGTGTCACACGAAAGGCACTAAAAAAATATATTTTCGAAGTCGTAAACATAACAATACAGTGTACAAGAAATAATAAAATATTTCTTGACAATTTCAGTGTAAAATCGTATGTTATAAATGTTACCGAGGATGATGAGAAAGATAAGTACCATTTGCATTAAAGGATTGTTATTTTAAAAGCTACACAACCCATTAAAAAACCTAAGATATCACTTGTCATTTGAGGTGTCTAAAAGAGTGCAACAAAATATCGTAAGCTAGGAAATACTATCAAACTATTCCCAAAGACTAATATTATATATTCCCTGCATACTTTTAGGTGCTGAAGCAAAACCATTGTAATTTTTATATAATATCCCATAGCTTCCTAGGACCTAGCCTTAAGAAAACCTGGCTTAAAATATTTTCAATGTACCTATCCACAAACTGGCAAGACTTTATTTCCTTACTTGCAACACTGCTGCCTGCAACCTGTCCCCAGAATCTCCTTGGCCAAGCTGCTTAGAAGCCGCCTGTCAATGGCAATTACGTCCGGGTTCAGGGTTCAAGTGGCTGCACAAATCACGGCGCGAAATGAAGAGTCAACTATCGACCTCAGGCTGCCAGGCAGTTAGAGCTTGATGCATGTGCAGCAATTTGGGGGCGAGGACATGCTGATCATTTGTCCTGGCAACCGGAGGAGCTGCCTGGGGAAAATCCCCGGAGCCCAGACGTGTGACGAGCATTTTGGCAAATAGTTTTGCCGACTGCCAGTGCTCACCTGGATGGCGAATCCCTGGAAACGGGCTGCCAAGGAATTCCATCAGCTGATCGATTAGTCGTTGCCGGCGAAGCAAATACTTTCACCCGGGGAATGCCGCCTGTCAGTGGAATGTGTGATGTGGCCAGTATGGCAATGGAGCCCCCATACCACCACCTTTCCACCTCCACATGTCACGTTTTATGGCTGCCAGTGCGAGTTTATCTTTGGCCGACAGCGTCAACGTCTGTTGCGAGTCCTTTCGTGTTCTGGCTCCCATGTCCTTGGCCATTTTGTTGCAATTTTTATGTGCTTTTATGCACTCGAGTTGGCAACGCCCCCCCTGCCAACCGCCCACCTTCGACACTCGGCCATCTTACACTGCCTTGCCACTTGGATAAATTCTCTCGCTCGCTAAATTGAGCAGCATTTCTCCCTCGTAACCCTCGAAATCCTCAATTCAATCTGACAAAAAAAAAAATTCACGTTTCTCTGGGATTCCGTTTAAAGTGAAGTGACTGACAGACAGAAAGCATTTAGCCTCATTAGGAGTTACTAACTTGCACGCAAAAAGTTGTGCAAATTTAATCAGGAAATCGTATGTAAATATTTGAACTTTAGGCTTTCGGCTTTTGACTCTAATGAAGCATTCAGGCCCAATGTTAAAGGCCGGAAAATGTGGCAGAGTGCGGCGATAATCACTGCATATGAATTAAAAAGTTTTCGGGGAAAACGGGGGGCGAATGTGAAAATATTTTGTAGTTTAAAGCAATTTGAAGTCATTTGTAGCCAATTTGTGTGTCTGCCAATGCAATTACAGTTGCTCACTCAAACACACACATTTGTTTGGCAATGCGCTCAGCCATTCCGACGTTTCATCGTCACTCGTCCTTTTTTCCCGTGCCAGCTTTATTCCTGCTTTTTTTCTCCAACTGCAAATGAGTCATGCTAATGGCAAACCATTAGCAAAAATGCCACTGTATGGGTGAGGGTGATAATTAAGTTGTGTGCATGTGTGAGTTTGTGCTTCGGAGGGAAATGTGATTTTGAAGGCTGTTGTTAAATATTTAAATGTATTCCATGGGCAAAAGCCATTCCCTTTGTTGGCAGCAGCAGCAGCATTTGCGCTAACGCCAAAGTCTAATTGCAACCTAAGCCCAAAATAAAATTACTTAAATTGCTTACAAAGAGAGGGATTCTTTCAAGGTGGCCACCAAGTGGGTTAAACGTTTGCCTAGGGCCTTGAAAGTCCTTCATTTTTATTATTTACTAGTATTGATTGCAAAAAGTTATGGGGGATGGGCAAAAAAATTACTGGTATTTTGGTATCCCTTGTAAAAGAAATAAGTGCAGAGGATTTTTAGACGATATATAAAGTGTTGCATACTTTTAAACACTTTTATAGGGTTTGTTAAAATACAATAAGAATATTTCGCAGGGATACTATTAAGACATTGTTCTTTATATATAAAAATATTGATTTTTAAGAACACATTTAAAAGCGCCTAAGAGTAGGCAGTGAAAAAGAAATGTAAGCGTAGGTCTTCTATATTAAAAATTATGTTGCATACTTTCTAGCACTTTTTTAGGTGCGTATTATTTTCAAGCAGTAGAAATAAGGTAGTATTTAAATATAAAAAATATTTTAAGGAACATATTATTTTAATATTGGTTCCAAAACTGATTGCTATAAGTGGGTACAAATAAGATGCCCAAGCTCTAAGCACCAAAATAAATGTATCTAATCGAACCATAAAGCAGTAAAATACTTGGTAAAATTAGTTTCGTGGTATTTCTCAGCTGCACAAGTGGTAAAAATCAACCGAAAATGACAGGCCGCAGAGCAGCGACTTGCTATTTCATTTTCATTTACCTTTAATTGGGCTAATCAGCCCGCTAATTGCACTCGCTATTAGCCGCCGGGGCAAACCGAACTAAAGTGGTTGCGACAGGACAGGCAGATATTTTATTGTTATGCGTTCGCGCCGCAAAGCACTTCAAAATTGCACTTTAATGACTAATTTAGACACACACACACACTGGGCACAACACACAAGGACTCACTCACACACACACACACGAGGACAGGACATAAAGGACGTTCGGTGGCAGGACGTGAGTGCCGGCGGAAGTGGGAAGTGCACACTTGAGCAATGGCGATACGACATTTCCTTAATGAAGGCGAGGGGCATAAAAGTTGATGGCCCTCCGGCTCATTTGGCTGCACATGCACATATGAGCCAAACGGGGCCAACGGGGCGTATGTGTAATTATAACAAGTTCGGACTTTTGACAGTCCTCCATTTTGTGCACTTGTCAGCTTTTTGTCACGTCTCCCCCGTCGCTCGATGGGCTGTCAAAGTTGGTAGTTTCCGTTCGATATCTTAGTTTTTTGGCCAGGAGGACACTCACCTGACACCAGCAGCTCACTGGTGCTGTTGACCAAATTGTCCATAATTGGCTGGAATGTGTAGAATGTCAGCGTTTCCAATTTGTTGGCCTGCACATTGATGGACAGCAGGGCGGGTGTTCCCCTCAGCAGACCATTGTCGATCTTCTTCAGCAGATTGTTGCGCAGATTCAGGGTTTTCAGTGTATTCAGACCGTCCAGAGCGCGCTCGGAAATTCGCTAGAAAATGGGGTTAAAAAGATTAGTTCCTAGTTTGTTCGGCAATTTGATTAAACATAAATTTTTTCGTTGTTTGCGGGTGCAAAAATGTTATTCTCGCACAACGACCACACACATAGAAAAACACGAAAAATATTTTCCTGCTGCCATTTTTCCGCATTTCTGCGTATTATTTTCATTGTTTTTCACAGAGTTTCGCTTTTCGTGTGCCATTGTTGTTGTCATTGTCTTCATTGTTTGTTTGCGAATTTATTTATGTGTATGTATATGCCACACATACAAGCGCAATCACACCTACACACGTATACATATACATATACATGTGCTCTGGTTTTTTTGTTTTTTAACTTGTATGTCCCAATTCGTTTGTCTTGAATTTTATTATACGGAAAAAAGTGTGTTTTCTTTTATATTATTTCATTTCTGGTTTCTGTTTTGTTCGGCCGAACAAGGAAAGTGAAGGCGGCGTATTCAGCCATTATTTAATATTCAATATGCTTTGTCTGGGGAAATGGAAAAATTATGCATATTAAATGTTGGCCGTGAAGGCGGAGGAAGCATGTGCCAAAGTTCCCTGCCTCGGTGATGTGGCATTGAAAAATAACCCAGAAATCTCGTCTCATGTTTGTTTATTTGCCCAGATGATTGACATATAAAATAATGTGCTCATATTTTATTGCGATATTTTGTTAGTTTGATGGGCGATCCTTCGATGCCTACGCGTCCAATTTATTAGCCTGGCAACGGCGAACAAATATAATTTACGAGCGATTTATGTGCGGATTGAGTAAACAAAGTTATGACAACGGAATTAATGGGTGGGCAGGGATTCGATGGAATTTCCAAATCAAAATGGAGTAAATATAATCGGGGGTACTTTTAGGTGTCCAAAAGTATGCAGCAATATATTTTAAACTCAGAAAAACAACGCATTTATTCATTGCATACTTTTAGACACCTAACTTTAAAGTTAAAAGGTATTTCAAAAAGCTAGTAATTTGTTTGGTAATCTTTTTTTTCGTCCAAAATTAGATACTTTCAATACCAAAGGCAGTTTAAGAAAAGAAAAGATTTTATTATTCAAATCGGTTTATTTTATAAGACTTTTTTAGCTACTTTATTTTTCAAAGAGAAATACTTTTCACCCACTTTGTGGTCGCTTTTCCACATTCTTAGCTTCTTAGTGCAGTAATGGCTTTGTCAACTATTCTAATCTACAAAGCAGAGCGAAAGCTGCTTAAAGCTGTTAATTTCTCCCACACACTTTCACCTTAATGCACTCGGTTAGCCCCTTAGCCCCTTAACCCGATTATCTGTTTATCTTCATCCCTGGACCGCCCGCACATGCAGCGTTTTATGTTGTGTGAGACCTGAACCTTTCAACGGCAAATGATTTATGAAGTGAGCAAAAAAAAAAAAAGGAAAGGAAAGGAAAAGCTGACGGGGAAGCCCCAGCCAAACATGCAACACAATTTGCTTTTATCGAAGGCGACAACGACACGGACACCTAACAAAGTCGCTTTCGCTTAGAAAGGGAATTTTTTGGGAGCAGGCAAATCCCAGAATCTGGAATCCGGGTCTCGAAACAAAGCGCAACGTGGGCGATAACAAGCCCAATCATTATGGCTATGACAATGCGGCAAAGGATCCGGATCCGGATCCGAGACGAGCCAAGCCAAGCCAAGCCGAGCCGAACAGGACCCCACTTGAGCGGCTGCTCTCGAGTGGCCCAGTGTCCTTTGCTAAAGTCCTGTCCTAGTGGCCTGACACATATGCGAGTCGTCTGAGTGTGACATGATATGCGAGCACTTTGTAAAATGGGAAAAACTAAGGAGGAGCAGCAGGAAGGAACAATGTTGGCCCAGGATATGGATATTCAGGATTTACGCTCATACGGCTGCCTGGCATAACTTCGCTTCCGTGAGTGTTAGGCGACATTTTTCTATTTACCCACACACACGCTGGCCATTTTTATGGCCACCAGGACACAGAAGGGTCCTGGTGCCCGTATCAGATGGCCGAGGAAAGGGAGCGCCATAAATCCATTATTCCCATGATTTGTTATTCAATATTTTGTAAGTAGATTAACTTGCGGCTCACATTTGTTTGCCCCAGAACGCCGAAAGGCGACTGTCCAGTGGGTAAATGTGCGAATTAAGCCAGGCATAGCCAGGACGAAGGACCCTGTCCACACGAAAAACGTTGAAAACATAATTTAGGAATCTATTTATCATATTTGCACCCCCAATGGGCAACGGGTCCAGCGATGCTGAGTGACCACTTAAATCACCACAAGAATAGACATTCGAATTGAATTTATGACACCAGCAAAAAGTTGTCTGCATGTCCTTGCGTCCCTGCCCCAAGGATGTGCCATTTATGGTGGCCTGCCCTCGTCCCTTCTGTTTCTTATGGCCACTCGGCAATTTATGGCCTCTTAAGTCAGCTCCTCCAAGTTGACCAAGTGGCCCAGGCAGACAAATCTTTTTAATCCACTTGCATTAGAGTTGATTGAGAAGTTTCGGTGCTCGCAGATTGCATTGCTATATAGAGGTGCCATAAATAAGAGCACTCAAACAACTATTCCGAATGCTATAAATGCGCACTTGAAAAACCCAATCAATCTGGAAATTAATGTTTTATCTTAAATGGGTTTTGGGTTGGGGAAATTACGGAAAAGATTCAGTTACCTAGGGTCATTTATGAGGACACCTATGATTGCTTTTCCGAAGTTACTTAAAGTTCTTAGATGTTTATTGATTCAAACTTTCTGATATTTTCTCTAATGTATCTTATAAATTTAGAAGTTACTTAAAGTTCTTTGATGCTTGTTGATTTTAACTTTCAGATATTTTTTGTAATGTATCTTATAAATCTTCTTAAATTTAAGGTGAACTCACCTCAATACGATTATCATCCAGTTCCAGTTCACTCAGACTCCACAGTTCCGCAAAGACAGTATCCCCAATAAAGTTAAGGTTGTTGCGGGTCAATTTCAGCACATTCAGATTACCCAATCCTCGGAAAATTTCGCTGGTCAGCACATTTATCTGGTTGTTGGCCAAGTTAAGGGAGGTCAGCCGGGCCATATCGGCAAAAAGACCCTCGTGAAGAGTACTGATGTTGTTATTATTCAAATGAAGCCTTTCGCAAAGCGGAAGATTACGGAACGCATAGCGATCCATTTCGAAGATCTGGTTGTGCTCCAAGTTCAAGTCCCTCAGCCTTATGTGATTGGCGAAGGCATCCTGATCCAAAGCCATGATATGGTTGTTATTCAGGATGATCTTCTCGAGGAAGGGCAGATTGGCGAAGGCATAGCTCTTGACAATCTCCACCTGCGAGTACTCAATAACAATGCTGCTCAGGTTCTTCAAAGGTTCAATGATCATGGTGGGTATATAATCCAATCGAGCATTGTTTTGAATCACAAACTTGAGCTCCCTCAAACGCTTCTGCTGGTAGAACCGCGTCCAGGTGGTGTCATTTTGATGCAATCCCTCCGAGAAAACCCAGCATTCGGCCTTTTGCACTGGTACATGGTTCTCATCTGGAGTACAGTAGCACATCAGCTTCATGTCCCGTCGTCTTGTGCAGAATCCAGTGCTGTCCATGGGTCCACTGTAGCCAGTGCTGCCGGAGTTCACGGCACTACTGCTGGTGAAGACATAGCCGCCGGAGGAGCCGCCCGCTGTTGAGGAGGAGCCACCATAGTTATAGGCATTGTTGCTGGAGGAGGAGGAGGAGGAGGAGGACAGGGAGCCGCTGCTGCTGCCACGCCCCCTGTTGCGACGGTCCTCCTTGGCGCGTCCCTCGGTGGGCGCCACCAGGCATCCTCCAATTAGCAGGAGCGACAGGAGCAGGATGCAGATGGCGCTGTCCGCCGAAGCCGCCATTTTATGGCGCTGATGATGCGGCAACATGGCGAGCTTATTCCTATCGCTCGGCAGAGCGGATTCTGCAAAATACGGGGAACAAAACAGAATGACGTGGTCAATAAAATTGGTTTATCTTATTCAGCACTTAAAGAAATTCGAAGAAATGTTATGTACCATAAAAAATGTTGAAGATATGGGTAATGAATTCTAAAAAATTGTGTGATTTAACACAAATTTATACTTATTCCTACTGTAAGATTAAACAAATGTTTAACAATATAATATTTTACAAACTTTTTTACAAAACAGGAGGATGAATTCTCCATATAGAAAGTCACCTATACATTTTGTTGAACCCCTAAGATGATGTTAAACAAATAACGTAATAGAAAAATGTTTTAGCGACCTTTACTGTATTTCACTATATTCCTTCATCAACCCATTGATCCCATATTTATCATAACTTAAGTAAAACTCTTTCTTAGAGTGTACCAATCGTAAAAGAGAGGCCCGGTTGGAAATGACTCAAAGAAAAAATTTGATTTTCATGGTCTTGATTTTCCGTTTCCAAATATCCCGAAATATATCCGTTCCCAACAAATGGATTTGATTTTATGTGGACCTGTCATAAACTCCGCCCAATTTGAGGTGCCGAAAAATTGAAACTGGAATCAAAGTTGATAACCATCCCATTCAAGTTTATTTGCCCACTCGTTGGCTTTATTGTTCCCGGGGCTGGTGGAAAGTGCTCCATAAAAATGCTAATTAATGTTGTTAACTTTCTCACTTTTGCTCATATTTCATTTGGCCCAATTCACGAGATTCCGCGGTGGATTTATCCCGAACCCCACCACTTTATTGCCCCTTTTTGGCCCCCTGGAAATTGAATTGGCCCGTTGCGAAGCCTCCTGCTGGCTTCATTTGACGCTCGGTTGCTTTGTCACTTGGCTTTTTCCCTGGCCATGGCCCTTGGGTTTTCCATTTTACCCCCATAAACAAATTTATCGAGCTCATAAATAACTGCAACACTGTCGCTGATTGTTCGCTCAACGGCAACGGCTTCACTTTTTGCTGGCCTCCCCTTAATTTTGCATTTCAAGTGTCATTGGCCAAAGTGCTCTCTAATTATGCTCGTATTTTTTAATAAATTAATAAGTCACACTGGCACTGGGCATATTTCGAATTTTGGGCTGGCTTTTTGGCTCCTGACTGCCGGCTTGACTGGCATAATGAAGTGTAAATAAGTTATTGTCAGTTGTCAAGTGAGTTATCGTCGCTATCGACAGTCAGCCCAGTGATTTGCATAAAATATTGTCGCAATAACAGAGAGAAAGAGGGTTGGTAAACCGGGGGGATTAGACGGATGGAAAGCCGAAAGTCACTTGAGTTATTGACTCGGGCATGCTTCATTACATTGATTTCGATTATAAATTTTAAATAAAACGATGATAAGTGCTGCGTGGCATGATGCGATGCTTATGCCGGCTTAGCTGGCTCTTTCCCTCACCCATCACCATCACCATCTCAATCTCAATCTCCATCCCATCTCCATCTCATCGTTCTGGCCAAAGTTCAGGGCTCAAGGAGCATTAGAAGTGGCTCACACCGCAGGATTAAGTACTCAAAATATACATGAAAACTTTGGCGCAGCCAGACGAAGGCAGCTGAAGATGACTTGATGGCTTCAATTTAAATATCAAAGCAAAGTCGAAACTAAAATGTCCTCAAAAACACATACAACACACTTGAGGAGAGCAAACCACAGGATATATATATGGTTGAATATATGTGACGATGTCTGGGGAGATATTTCACATATTCTGGGAATTTTTAAGTGTGTCGTGAAGCAGCAAATCAAAAAATACACTGCACATGTGCGTAATTAGATTTTTACACAAGAGGAAGAAAATTCAACCATGCTTTTTTACTGAGCAAAAAAAACAAGGAATCCGTTTTACACTAGCAAATGAAAGGTTAAAGTCGCATAATGCTTTAAAGGATTTTTTATAATTTGCCCATATACAAAATATATCTTTAATCGACATCTGCTATAAAGCTTTTCCATATAGGTATAGTATAAACCCACATTTTTTCTGTTCACACATGCACCAGCTCGCTGACAGCCAATTACTCAAAAGGCCTGAATGGAGGCCAAATGGGAAAACTGGGGCGTGGCGTGGGAAAAAAGCTGAAAGAGAGCGTTACAAGCAAATGAAAAATCAATTTGTTGATTATGCATAAATCATAAGATTTATGCGACTCCTCACTCAGCATTCATGAGTCATTTATCAAACGAGCAAACTTCTCCTTTCTGCCTTCATGTCAGAAACACAAAAACAGAGAGCGACGAAGCGAATCGCAAATCGAAGTGGCAATGGGGGCAAAAAAGCATCAGTGGAGTGTAAAAACAGGCGAGATGTTTCATTCATCCTGACATGAACTAAATATTAAATATGTATAACACACAGTCTAGACCGAGTAGCTTTCAAATCTTTGAATATACACACAGATAGAGCATCTTGGCACAAGATTAAATGCAAGCTGCGTACAAATTGATCTCCCTGGCTTAAGTTCTTCATCTCGGAGAGTAAGCAAACACCAGCAACGGCAAACCTTGACGACAAACAATTACCAAGAAAATTATTCCCCCAGGGAAAATGGGAGCAACAGCAGCAGCAGCAGCAGCAGCAACTAGCAACACTACACAGGCAAAACAGCAGCAACTATAATATTGTTGGCAGCAGAAACAGCAGGGATAATGGGTCTGCAGCAAACTCATCGCTAAATTAAAGACAGAAACTTTAACGGGGACAATCAGGACACCAGCAGCAACATCAAGGAGCAACCTGGGCAGCAGCAGCAGCAATAACAAGGAGTTGGGCCAATGTTGCTGTTGCAGAAGCAACATCAGCTAAATTGACAACGGCAACCATTAGCAGCAACATGATCAAAATGCGGGGCATCAGCAATATTTGCCATCCCAGTAACAGCAGCAACATATACTGTTTCGGTAACAGTAGCAACATAGAGCAGAAAAAGTAACATGAACAACAGCAACATCAATGAAAGTAAGAGCAACAAAGAACACCATAACAACCAGCAACATTGGCAGTGTGTGCAACTTAAACAAGAGCAACATCTTCAATAAAAGCAACAGTGCAACATTAATTGCTCAGGTAACATTAGACCAACTTAAGCTCAGTTGTTCAGATAACAGCCGCAACATGAAACGCGGCAGCAGCAACTAATGCCATTAGCACACCGGAGCAGCAACATTAAAACTTTCAAGCATTACAAGTAACCTCAGCAACAGTAATAGTTGCTGGAAAATCAGCAACATCAACTTAAAGGAGAGACCGGGCAGCAACTGCAATAATAACATGACCAGCAACATTCAGGACAACAGCAACAGGAGCAACAGCAACAATGGCCTGCCAGGATACGGGTTCTCAGTAATGTTTCGTTGGGGGAAAATTGCAACAAGAAGCAATTTGTCTTGTTGTTTATAATTTCGATTAAACTTTCGAAGCGAGAAACGCATATGTTTGTGTGTGTGTTGCTGCTCGGGGAAACTCGGCTCGGTTTGCTGGTGTGCGTGCAAACAATGGGCTGTGCCAAAAGGGGGAAGGGGCGAGTCCTTTCGCCGGGGGGAAAAGGCGTGTGAAAGTGTGACAGAAGTGTCGACAAAGAGCGAGGCAGCAACAACAGCAACAGCAACAGCAACACCAGCAACACCAGCAACCGCAGCAACAACAATGATGACGGCGACCCAGTGGGAAATTGGAGCAAAGCCGCAGCTAAGCTGACAGCCACGCAAGCAATTTCCCAGGGAGCCAGATAATATTTTCCAGCAATGGAAATTCTTAGCTTTAAAAAGAAACTCGCCTCGTTATGGCCTTGTTTGCCGTATCGGTAAACTTAAGACAAACACATAGATACACACACACACAGAGAGAAAACCCCCGTCTGTCTGAGGTTGATCAAGACAAAAGCCCAGAGTCGGTACTCTGCTATGTGGAAATTGTTTTCAATTTTCGTTATTTGACAAATGGTGACACTTCCGCTGTGGCAGCCAGGACACCAGCATCATCACCAGCCGGGCCAGGACTTTAACAATATGTACATATACCCCAGGCCCCCCTTTTCAGCCTTCCGGCCCTCGGCCCACGCCTGTGTGTCATGAGGTTTTGTCAACAATAAGTTTTTATGCCGGAAGACTCGTAGTTGTTTATGGCAGTCCCCCATCAGATGCAGCATCCTCGGGCCCAGCCGCATCATCATCATCATCAGCAGCCCCACAGCGGGTTTGTGTGCACGGCGGAAAAAGGGATATCTTATTGGGTTATATATAGACATTTCAATTTGGGAACCTTACTTTTAGATGATTTATTCATGATAAATCTGCTGATTATTATTGTAGGCACAATGTTTCGATTAACATAAGCTTGTATTGCCGAGACATAGCTCCTTTTAAATTTTATAAACCTTAAATTACATAACTTACTGTTAACCATTGGAATTTATGGAAAAGTACCTCATTAGATCTGAACAATAATTATGGCATTATGACACTGTCTGTATTCCTACATATATCATAACTTTAAATATGTATGTTTTCATTTAATATACCAATTCACATTTTTTCTGAAGATAGCCAGGTCTTTTTTAAATAAATCCAGTAAGTTAGTGGAAATGATAAGGCCTAAGAGCATTATGACATTTGATCATTCTCGAGAACCTTACAGGATTTTTTTAAGGTCAAGACAACCTAAGCAAGTATGTTTCATATTAATATTTAAATTTCTAATAAGTTTTTTCTTTATGTTCCCATGATTTATTTAAAAAAAAAATTTGGTAAGTAGTTTAAAATAAATTAAGTGTCATAGGACCATAAGAAAAAATGTTCTAAATAATTGATCCTGCAAATTTAATTGGATAATACATTTTTGGTAATATACTATTACACCTAACAACTTTAGCTTTAGAATCAGCTCATTTTCCTTCCGTGTAATATTTGCGGTAAATGGTAAATATACGTGCGAGTCCTGTTCTGTTCCTATATCATGTGAATATAACTTTAAGCTGTGACATGAACGCAGCTCGGACGTGCTTGACTTTGACTGACTGGCTCTGACTGACTGACTGGCGAGGTGGGAATGGAGTGGAGTCGACTGGCCAGGAATGGAGCCACTAAGGGTTAGTCGCTTTCCATTTAGCTGAGCTGCAAATAAAGCGACAGCTACAAAAACTTGGTCAGTTGGACAAACTGCAGTTCCTGTCTTTGGTTTTGGTTTAGGTTTAGGTCGGCTGTCTCCTGTCTTCTATCTTCTAACTTCTATCTTTTTTCATCCAAGTTCCCTGACCTGTGAACTTACCCCCACCCCCTTTTTGTCTGACAAATGACGCAAGGGCAAAGCGGCAGACGAAACACAGCCATCAATCAGTTGGCCAAGTTATGACGTCCGCACGTTTTATTCGCATTTTTATTAAGGCGCACAAATATCCGGATTTGTCCTTGGCTCGCGTCACTTGTCAGCGCCAGTTGGAGTCTGTTTCGATCAAATCCGGGGGCTTTTTTTTGGGTGGTGGATAAGGGGCGGCTCCTAGCCCCATATATATTTATTGTCAGCCATGTCACACTTCATAAATATTTCATAAATTGCTTCGCATTTATTTTGACAGTAGCGCCAAAGTTTCGACTGCCATTTGTTAACCCTTTCAGCTGCCGCTGTTGCTATTTCACATTTTTTTTGTTTCTTGGCCCGGTTATTGTTATTTCTGTTATCATGCGAGGCAGTCAATGCCAGCTGTCACACATATTGTCCTTGGAAGGAGGCACCTCTTAACACCCCCCAACTCCCCCAACCACTTTCCACTTTCCCCAAACCTTATTGCCAAAAAGTATTCATGCAGCAGGACTCATTCTCGCACTTTTGACTACTTTCAACTTGGTCTCCGTTTTCTTGGTCGTTTTTTAGCTTTTAGCATACCTGTCAGCTAAATAAAATGGAAACTAGTTGCCAAAGCAAACTTTCGCCTTCGCCTCTCTGTTGACACATATTTCTGGGCAAGAGGCGAAAGGCAAAAGGCAGAAAGCAAAAAGCTTGGCTATATGCATATGCCTGCCACGCCCCCTGCGGCATTCAGACAGACAACGCCCCACTGCACTTGAGCTGCCTGCCACATTACTTTGGCCGTCAGTCCCCGATTTTTTTGGTGGCCTCTTTTCGGGCTTTACTTTAAGTTGTTCTCACCCCCCTCCCAACTGGCACCCCTCGAAGGATCCCAGGACTTTGGAGAGTCCTGGCAACTGCTTAACGCCCAAATTGGCAGCACCTGGCCAAAAGTGTTGGCTGACTGTCCTGGCAGATAAGTAGTCGTCCTGGGCTTTTCCCTTCGCTTTTCTTTTCTTTTCTTTCCCTTATTTTTCCTAACAGCATTTTTTTCGGGCTGTGTGTTTTGACTTTCAACGAGGAGCGAAATTATTTTCGCTGTTGCAAGTTTGTTGCAACTTTTCCCTGACGCAAAGTGAAAATTTGTCATGCTCGTTGAGCTTCCCCCAACCCCCCTACCCCAATCCTGATTATATAATAAATTCCCTCAGTTAGGCAAAAATGCTCCACAAAGACAAACACAAACATAAATACAGACTTAGCACAGACAGACTCGTCTGAGGAAACTTTTAACTCACTTGCCAAATATTTTAGCAATTTTTGAATAAAACATTTTCAAGATTCCAGCCAGCTGACAACCCCCTTTTATAGCCCTGCCCATGCACACAATACCCCCTTTTTATCCACCTGGTTTCAGTGCCTTTAAAGCGAGTTTCATAGGGGTCTCAACTTAATTAGTTGGGATTCCTGGCGCTGCAGAGAGTTTGTATCCCCTGCATATGTACCGAATATGTATATATATTTCAAGTCCTGAGGAGGCCTTCTTACCTTTCGATTGAGTGCTGGAAAAGGACAAGTCACGTACACCAGTAGTCCTCGATCTGCTGACTAATGCAATGTCTCTGCAAATATATAGAGAGTGGGAAAACGAATTAGTTTGATATTACTTATTATATTGTCATGTTTCGGTCTCGTTACAGACATGTTTTTCAGCCACAAAATTATAGCTCTGCTGGAATTGCTATATACTTTATTCATAAGCCCCTGGGAGGGCCTCAAATGCTAATGGAAATTACGTATTAAATAAATAGCAGCGAGAATATTATATGAATCGAGAAATAAGCACTGTAATCCAGTCGCAATTGAAATAATAAAGGGATATTGAAGGTACTCTAACATTTTCTTACATAACTATATTTATAAGAGGTAATTGTACCTTCCTCTTTTTAAATATATTTATTTGGGTATTATAAACCGTAGGTCTTGTATAAGGACTTCTTGTATATCTACCTAATTATTTATCAGGATATTCCAGTTCTGCAGTACATTTAACTATATAGTATGTTTCTATTATTACAAAACGTTTTTTTGAATTTTACGACTTCTTATATAGTATACATATATTTTTAGAAAATGGTTTTCTGAATTGCATGTTCCTAAAATTAGCTCTATCAAAGGACTCTACTGACTCCACCTTTTCAGCGTTATCCATGTATAGTTTTTATGGCCCTTGCAATGCTTGCTTTTTATACAACTTTATAGGCTTCAAAGATCAAAGGCTTGGCCCAGGCAAATCTAATTGCGTTAATTTTCCAGTAATTGTGGTCCGACTAAGTTCACTTCCAGCCAGGACATGCGATAACGTAAACAGCAGAAAAAGTCCTGGGACAAAGGGAAAACTATTAACACGAAGGGGACACTATGGGTGGGGTCCTTGGGGGTGGTGCACACATGTGTGAGCGGAATGCGTGGATGGTTGAGGGGTCAGGGTTCAGGGGTCAGAGGCTCACAGGTCGTGGGCGTGGATGGCGCGTTATTCAAATAGTTTCGGCCGCCCGGCGCTGCGGAGACGATAACGACGATGACGACAGCCCAAGGCAATTCCCCATCGTGGGCGGCGCCACGCCCACATGTGTGTATGAAAATGGAAATGAAATAATTGCATTGGCTACGCCTAAAGAAGAACTTGCTCCCCCTCAATTTTCCCGCTTTTCCCCAGTGCCCCGTGTTTACTGCAATCATAATCGCCTACCCCCAAACGTTCGTTGACCATTTGTGGTTTTTCATCGTCATTTTCCCTCATTTTTTACTCATTGCCGTTAATTATGCCCGCATTTCTGGTTCGCCATACACTTTTTTTGTGTTATTTGAATATTTAATAAGATTTATGCCATTCATGCCGCTGATGCCTTCTGATGATTAAGCATTGAATAATTGCTGACGGAGGCGGAATCCACCAAAAAAAGGCGGCGGGGGAAGTGCTTTTGTGGCGAACCGAACAATTGTCTGGGGCTCCTAAGTTCGAGGGCGGCGGAGGGCGGGGGGCGTGGCATATCGGGGCATCTAAATTTGATTGTCGGTGGAATGTCAAACAAGTTCAAACGGCGGCTGCCAGTGGCAACCGACCAACCAACTGAAACCCCAGAAAGCAGTTGTTCAAATGGCGGGAAAAATCAGGAAAATGCCAAGCCAAGCCCCCGGGGAGTGGGAAAAACATATGGAAAATTGGATCCAATGACATTGATTGTTCAATTGGGCGGGCTTTGCGAGGGCAGGTGAGCAAGGTGCCCAAACATGTTTAGGCGGTAATGCGATACAGGAACATAAAAAGCGATCCAATTTGTTTAGATCGTTAAGGGTCCTCGGGGGTTTTGCGTACGTATTGCCAAAGTTTTCGTATTTATTTCTATTACAGTTCAGTTGAATTTAGTTCTCAAAGAATATTAAATGGTGAATCATAAATTCACAGTGGTAAACTAATTTGTTTGTTAAGCTTGTAAAATGAAGTAACTTTTCACATTAATTTAAATAAAACCCTTTTTCAGAAAGCTTGAACAAGAACATTCTACTGATTTGATTAAAATCAATTTACCAAATCATTGCTTCACTTAAACTCCCAGTTCTTTATACACCCCCATGCCATGTGAACAATTTGCATGTGGATAATCTTGGTGAGTCGCTTTCGGAAATTGCTGCTGCGTTTCCATTTCATGTGTGAGGCAATAAAAATGTAATATAATTACGCACAATTTCCAGTTGAAGTTTATGGCAGAGACATGCCAGAAGGATGGGGGGGATTTCCTGGGGGGATGGATGGAAGGAGGGCAGGCGAATCACATTCGCAGGACGCAGGACACGACGTGACTTTTGACAGCGGAGGGGCTGAGATGCCGAGATGCCGAGATGTTGAGGTCCTGGCAGCTCGCTTGCCTGGGACTTTATGAGCCGCCGCTTCGCCAAGACAAACATAAACACTTGTGCTTCAAAAGGCGCTGGGGTCAGGGGTCATGGGGGCGTGGCAGGACTGCAGCTGATTTCATAAAGTGTAACAAGCCAAAGCTTTGAGCTCAACTGCTGCGACAAATAAGCGACAGCGGAGCCGCAAGCTCCTCGCAGGAGAAAAGTTTGCGAGCGCCAAAGGATATCTCAGAGTGTGTGTGTGTGTTGTGGCAGCCTCCACACACACACACACACACGAAGGACACGAAGGAGACACCGCTGTGAGTGCCTGCGAGTTAAATATTTGCCTCGCTTGTTTACATCCCAGACCCCAAAAGCAAAGTTGCCACACGACTCCCGGTCCTGGGGCCCCTCCCCTGGAGCCCCTACTTCTGGGGCACCTCCTCCTTGAAGTCCTCGAGTCCTCATTTGCCCTTGGCAAGTTGTTATTTCTTAATATTGAGAGCTGCGGATGATAGGCGGCATGATAGGGAGCGGCAAGTGGAAAAAACAGCAGTTGCTGGAGGGCGCCAGGCATTTTCCCATCCAAAAACATCAATTGTTGGGTTTTCAATACACCAAGAGAAAAAAGGTTTAGTCATAAGCTTTATAGGTGATTTTTTACAAGATCTATGGGTCTTATATTTTTGTAAATATTTTTTGATGAAAGAAGGGGTATTAAACATACATAAACATTTTAATCGTCCAATTATATATCCAAAAACGTAATTTTTAATGGGATATGTTTGAGTTTGGCTTTATCATTATTTCTGACCGATACTTTTTTTGCTTACAAATAATGATATTAGCTCCAAAATAATGATTAGTTTTAACAAAAATATAAAGGGAATTTAAAATGAATGATTAATGCTGATTTGAAAAGGTTATCTTAATAGTAACCAAATTGAATACTTCCTTTTTTTTGCTACTATTGTATGTGAGAAATTTTTTCAATCCAGTTTAATTATTATTTTTTTGATCCCTGCTTTTTTACAGTCTTAAACCATTCAGGTAATGTTTTCTTCGGTGCACCTTGAATATTATTTTTTGTAGAAAATTAAAAAAAATCTTCCCCTTATACGGAACCCCCTTCTTAAAGCACCCCTGAACAAAAAACAACACCCACTCCTGCTAATGTAATTGGGTAATAAAGCTGCTTGGCCGAGTGTTGAGCAGCACCTGTCCCATTACCGTTAGCGTTACCGTTACCAACTATATAAACATTAGTGACAAAAATTAATTAGGCCGACACAACAGCGAAGCGTTGGCAACAGGACGAATAACACATACATTTCGGCCACGTTTTGAGGCTCGTTCGACGTGGCCATGGCCATGCTAAATGGTCATAATCAACTTCCGTTATGTCCGCACCCACTGCCACGCCCCCACCGCCCACATCGGCAACGAAATGTGCTCATTTACAACAAATAAACAGGGATATAAAAACCATGAAACTGATTTTTCACGCCATTTTCATTTACATTTTTGCGGTTATATTTTTTGGGCCATTCTCGGCTGTTTGCTCTGCCCCGACGCCGGCAGCGCTGCAACTGCGCAGCCAACGCATGTGTAATTAAAATATAATAATTTCCCCAAATACCGCAACAAGCAAATAAACAAACAAAAGAGCGAGGCCCAGTGAAAGCAAGAGCACAAGGCAGCGAAAGCGAAAACAAAAGAAAGCAGAGCGAGCACACAAAAAACACAAAAAATGGGGGAACTTTGGGTGGAAAACAGATCCATTGTATTCCCTATAAAGTCAGTCCTTAATATCATATCATATATCAACGAATATTCAAAAACATGTAAGATTCCAAAACTATTACAGTGAAATAATCCTTACTTCTAAAATTATTTTTAAGTTAAGGTTTAATTTTATATAAAATAAAAAAAAAATATATAATGTGATATACAAAGAACTATCTTTAAGAACCGAAGAACGTGCTTGAAAACTTAAATAATTTTTAAGAGATTTTTAAAATGACAATACTGTTGAAAATTATATTTAAAGTAGAGTTTTTATCTGTAATTTAAAAAAAACATTAACTATATTATAATTTTACTATTTTTAAGAGCTAAATATTGAGTTTGAAATTTTCCAGAATTGCTTAATAATTTTTCAGCGATGTGGATGAATCATCCTTGTAAAGCCTTGTAAAGTATTTGTATATTTCGAGCGGATCTTTAAGGAGCCCATAAGATTTTATACATCATATTTAATATTGGAATATGTAAATTATATTACAATTCTTATATTTTGATGACTAATCAATAAACTAAGATAGGATACTTCTAATTTTTGGCTGTATAAAAACCAAAGTATAAAGAACTGACTAAAATTATATAAAATTCCTTGTTTATGTGTCTTATATACCACTAAAAACATTGGCATACCCTGCATTTCCTGCGCTAGAGTATCATAACTGTAGACACAATATTTATGACGAAAGTTTCGAGTGGGTCGGAGGGAATGTGGGCCAGATTGTCTCTTTCTCTCTGAAGAGTGGGTGGTGAAAGTGGGTGGTGAAAGTGGGTTGCCTGGGTGAAGGACAGGGCCATCTGCCAATGATTATGATGATGGCAATCCTGCACGCACAAAAACCCGCACAGGTGAGCTCTTCTCTGGGTTCCTCCTCCTGCGTCCTTCACCTTTCTCCGTGAATCAACCCCCCCCCCCCCCCCT